CCCATCCCTAATTCTTATAGATTTTAATGTGTAGTGGACTGTGCCAAATACCTCTCCTGTACTCCATTGTCATTCACCTTTGATTCTGCCTCTTACAAACTGTCCCAGTCCCTCTTCATCAGCGTCACAGCCTGCTCCCTTCTCTTCATTTGTATTGCACGCCCATTAAGCAAACTCTAACATCCCTAGCGGGTCATCTCCATTTTGCAGCTAACAGACGGTAATTGTTTTAGACGGTGCTGAGATTTTTCCTCTCTCTCTCTTTGTTGCCCGCAGGTGATACTAATCCTGACAAAGCTCTACGATTACAACTTGGGCAGCATCACGGAGAGCTCGCTGTGGAGGTACGTCTTTAAACTAAGCTCTAATTGCTCCGTTACTTCAAGATAAATTTGGTGGCGGAGGTCTTTCAACGCAGTGTAATTGGACATGTGGGATGTTGGGTGACAGCTGTCCCCGGGCTGTATTAATTGTCTCTTCTCATGTGCAGCGAGAACGTTCCATTGGCTTGTTCACTGTTGAAGTATTTGAGCCCCAGAGGTGGCGTAACCAGAGACACCTATCCCGTTTCATTGTGTCTGTTGCCTTAACACCTTAACTGATTCTGATTCACTCTGGAAGGAGGTTGAAAATCTCCATAAGCGATACAACGGAAGCTCATCTGTATTCTGGAGAATGTTTGAATTCCACAGCTGAAGAACGTTATGGTCTCAGTTAAAGGGTAGCCCATAACCGGTTCCCTTTACCGCATGGGGAATCGGGTTCATGTACTTTACTGTACACTCCCCTGCTTTTCTCGTCTGCCACCCAACAAATACCAGTTACTTCCATATATAGATGAACATGTGGCACATTGGCCATCAATGAAGCACCACCGAGTGGTCAATCACCAGGCCAGATTAATGTCACATGGTGGTGGTGGTGGTGATTGTGCACAGCTCCTGTGTAAGCTTCAACTTTGCCACCGAGTGGCCAGTCAACAGGCCAGATCAATGTCACATGATGGTGGTGGTGAGGTGTTGTGTGCAGCCCCTGCGTAGGCTTCAATTTTGCCCAGTAAGTTTAAATACATACACCTTTTTCTCAGCAAGTTCCAGGAAAGTAGAAGAACCATTTACGGAATCGATAAAACACTATTTTGGAGTGTAATAACCGGTTTGGTAACCTCTCCGGCTGAAATACACATTATTATAGCATAACAGAGGCTCTAACGCTTCCTCTTTTTACTTTAATGACGGATGTGTAGTAGAGTGCTAGACCCAAAGCAAGGGTGCTAAGACTTTGAATCCAAATTTTGGAGGAAGCTCTGCTCAATCAATCAAACGGGATATTTTGGACACAGGTAGAGATCGGAGGGCTAAGTCAGACCCTTGCTTCTAATATGACCTAGCTGATTTACCTTTAGTTATCACTAGAGGGATCTCCAGGAGGAAGAAGGTCATGAGTCGTTTACATAGACATTTAGGTATCACTTAAGAGAACCTCGGGAGAATGAAGAAGGCCCTGATTTCCCTATACAGATCTTTAGTTATCACTAGAGGGATCTCCACCAGGAGAAAGGAGGTCCTGATTCCTCTATATAGATCTTTATTATCACTAGAGGGGTCCCCAGCAGAAGGAAGGAGGTCCTGATTCCTCTATATAGATCGTTAGTTATCACTAGAGGGGGCCCCAGCAGGAGGAAGGAGGTCCTGCTTCCTCTATATAGATCGTTAGTTATCACTAGAGGGGTCCCCAGCAGAAGGAAGGAGGTCCTGATTCCTCTATATAGATTGTTAGTTATCACTAGAGGGATCACCAGCAGGAGGAAGGTAGACATGTGCGATTTGTTTCGTTACGAATCGAAATTCGTACGAATTTTCCTGAAATTCGTAAATTCGGAAGCATCCGAAATCCGAATTGCAGTTTCCAAATTATATACGAAATTCCGTTAACGAATTTCGGATCTGAATTTCTTTGAAACAGGAACTAATATTACCCCTGTAAATGAGGTTGAACAACATGACAAGATTTTTTTTTTTAATCCGAAATACGGATCCGGTGCTGCTGAGAGCTGCATTACACTACACAGGCAGGAAATACGAAATTCCATTGACGTATTTTCGTTCCGTTACGAACATTCGTTATATTGAAGTTAAAAAACAAAGTACATTAATATTGGAGTTGATGGTAGTTTTTTTTTATCTGAAATACGAAATTCGGATCCGGAATTCGTTAACGGAATTCGTATTTCGGATAAAAAAACAACTACCACATCGACTCCAATATTAACAAAGGTATTTTTGCTTTTTAACTTCATCATAACGAATGTTCGTAAAGTTACAAAAATGTGCCGAAACTAACGAAAATTCATATTTCGTACGAATCCGAATTGAGTTTCGGATACGAATTACGAAATAACGGATATTCCGAAACGGAACGAAACAAAACGGAACAAATTTTTTGACTGCGCACAAGTCTAGAGGAAGGAGGTCCTGATTCCTCTATATAGATCTTTAGTTATCACTAGTTAGACCTTATTTAGAACAATGTGTCCAGTCCTGGAGACCCTGAGATATTGATAAGATAGAACAAGTCTTGAGCTCGACAACAAACATGGTGAAAGGTCTGATGGATATAGCATATCAGGAGAGACTGCAGAAACCTAATATGTACAGTCTTGAGGAAAGAAGGGACATGACCGAGCCCTTTAACTACATGAAGTGTGTGGAAAAAGGTTGAGGGGGACAGAATTTTTCATATGAAACTAAGATCAAGAAGTAAATTGTTTCTAAGGCAAGCCTTTATTTTCTATATACAATAACACAACTAAAATTGCCGTATTTTCTGTGATAACCAGCAGGGCCGGATTTACACTTTCTGCTGCCCCAAGGCCAGGTTCCCCAATGCGCCCCCCTACCCGGCAACCCCCCCGCCTCCCCCATGGAGAATGGCAGAGCTGCAGGTTGCATACAAGTGATCTCGGCGACATCGCCGGGATCACTTGTACAAAACAAGCGCCGGCTTCCCCGCTGTACATTTAGCTCACCCAAAGCAGGGCTAATTGTAGAAATCAACTACTCGCCCGGATCCCGGAACTGCATGTACCGGGCATTAGGAGATAGGAATTCCACACCCCTGCTGCTCCTCTACTCCCTGCTGCCCCAAGGCCGGGCCTTGGTTGGCCTTGTGGGAAATCCAGCCCTGATGATAACCACTATTCTATATACAAAGACACAAATAGGAACTGATACAAATGTATCTGTTGGCTTCAAGTATATGTGAACACAAGTCAACTAAAGCAGACACTGATACAGTAAATAGCATTTGGAAACCATACTCATTTTTTTATATAGCCACTTGGTACCTTTTTGAGACATTTTCTACTTCTATTATAATTTTTTTTTTAAAGTTATGTATTTTTAATAACAGTATCATATTCATGTATGTGTGTATGTACTAAATCCAGGGGCGTAACTAGAGGGTGAACCTGCAGAGCCCACCATAAACTCTCTATGGTGGGCTCTGCAGGGTCACCCTCAGGTGGGCTGGTCGCACTCCTTACCTGTCCGCCTCCTCTTTGTCCTCCGTCGCTGAGCCTGCCTCCTTCTTCTTCACCGGGCCATGCCTCCTCCCCTGGCTGCTGACCACAGACCCCGCCTCCTCCTCTACTGCCGGGTCCAGCCTGCTCCACCGCCGCTGCTGGCTCTCATTGACTCTGTGGAGAGGAATGCGCTGCTGCACAGATTACTGTCAGTGATCTGAACAGCGGCGTGTTCGTCTTCAGCCGCCAGTAAAAGCCACCAGCAGAGGATCCCATAGCGACCCAGGCGGCCCGCATGGCATCTGGCTTGGCCCCACTGTGCCCCGGGCCCCATAGCAACCGCCTGGGTCGCTATGGTGATTGTTACGCCACTGACTATATCTATATACAGGTAGGTATACATCCTTTTTATATTCGTTTTGTAGTCCCGATGAAGGGAGAGTGCATTGGGCCCCAAAAAAGGGTTGTCTGTCCTATGTGATCCTATTGCAAATCATTTCATTGATTTAGAGCCTTTCACCTTTTACTTTGGTGTTCTTTTTGTGATTTTATGCTTTGAATCACATTCTGGGTACCCACCAAGGGGATCCTTGCATTATGTAAGCTGCTTTACATGTGTAAGTGATCTCATAAAACTATTATGTTTTCTCCATCTTACTGAACTAATTGAAGTCCCAGGGCCTCTTGGATAAGATTTTTTTGTAGTTCACATTGCACATGATTTATGATCTGGAAGCGGCTCCAGAAGGGCATTAGAGACATGGATATTTTACGGCTTAGCAGCTGAATTTTTGTTTTGCTTCAGGAATGCAGTTGATGGCTCTGAGAAGGGCAGATAGGTCATTCTAAAAGAATTTTCTCATTATTCCTTGAATTCGACTTCCTTTTACCTGGATTAGTGTGGTAAATAAAAGGCGGGTCTCGTGTCATTTTTCATTTTTGCTCTATTTTTATACTGCCGGCGTCTTCTGTGACAGTTCATATACCTGCTGACTAATGAGAGTTTAATTAGCTGCACTGCATAGTGAGATGAGTGGGAAGATTCTGGAAAATAATTGTGTTAATAGCTACACTGCAGAGAGACGGTGTGACGCATCTCCGTGGTGCACCGGTGACTTGAATGAGGTGAAAGTCCAATTCCAGTGTCATCTTATTTCATCTTATTGTAAATCTCTTGCTCTGCTTTTTAAAATATAGAAAAAAAAACTTCCTACTTTTTTTTTTCTTTCTTTCCTTCTTCCATTCATTCTCTCCTTTCTCACTGAGTCCCTTATATTGCCTTCCTTCCCTCCTTCTGTTCTATGTTCCTTCCTTTTTTCTTTCCTTTCTTTCTTTCTCCCTTCCTTTTCTGCCCTTCACTCATCCCTCCCCCTCCCTATCCCCCTTGTTTCCTCCCTTCCTTCCTATTCCCCTTCCTTCCTCTATTCGTTCCTTACTCCCATTTACTTCCTTTTTTACTTACCTCCTAATTTGCTTCGTTAACACTTTCCTTCCTTCTCTCTTTCCTTTTTTCTGTCCTTCATTTAATTCCTTCCTTTCCTCCTTCCTTCCCCTTTCCCTTCTTTTACCTGTCCCCCTCCCTCCCTCCATTCCTTCTCTTCCTTTCCTCCTTCCTTCCTCCCTCCCCTCCCTTACTTGCTTTCTTCCTTTCTACCTCTCTGCCATCTGTTCCTTTCTTTTTTCCTTCCTTCCTTTTTTCCTTCTTTCAGTCCTCCCCCACCATTACTTCTGATCCCCTTTCCTGATCCCCTTTCCTTCCTTCTTTATTTCCTTCCTTTTTTCCATCTTTCATGTCATTCCTTCCTTTCCTCTTTCCCTCCA